TATCATGAAAAGGTACGAATGAGAATGAATGTCGTCACAATACAAGATATGTATTGAACCGGTTTCGAATAAATCGTTGTCAGAAAAACATACTTCAGAGGAACTACAGAGCATATCAAACGTGAGCTAATGAATCATTTATATTATATGCATATTTTCACGAGCAACTCCAGTTCACCGTGGAGGAAGAAGAGGATCAGAAATTACCTTTCCTGGACACCGTGATCCATCGGGGTGACGATAGCCTACGTTTCTCTGTGTATAGAAAGCCTACTAATAAAGACTATTATAAGCATTACTACTTTTTGGCTTCTATATCAGAGCACTGGGGATTTGAAGCCCTGAATTTCTTGAAAATGAGGTTGCCTATGTAATTGAATCTTACATGAAACATCCCAGAGGCTTCCTGTTAAACCTCAGAAACAAGTCGGAGAACTTACAAGATCAGGCTCTGCACCCTCTACTAATTTTCTCATATTACCGCCTTAGGGCATTTCTGAGGCGATCAGCAGTACAGTGAAAATCGCTAGCTCCTTCGGAGATAAACACTTAATACGAGACATATTACGAGACAGAAAGAAGCCCGAAAACAACCCCGACAGTACTGTATACCATATAAAGTTTTCACGTGACATAACTGTAAGGCGTCCGACATATGGAGGCATTGGGTCTTGAAGCGCTTGTGTGGGTCCATCTTTTCCATTTGATTCTCTTATTTCTGTGGATTTATTGAGCAATAATGGTGAATTCCTTCCGTGTCAATGAATGTCACAACCGGCAAAATTGAGTCTTATTCAAAATTTTATAAATTGCTGAAAATGATTCGAAATCAAAGAGAAACGACAATGATTGGGCGACGAAAGATGACGTCTGTGTCTTTCTCGCCTGCATCAGAATCTTGAAGGAAAAGATTGGTTATTATAAGGATGTGCTCAGTTCAGTTTCGAATACCGTCTTGAGATAAGGTTAACTGAATCACGGGAGAAGCAAACTGATAAAAGGCTTACCTATGCAAATTTCAGCATCACCTCCTACAGTTTCTGCTTTGTTATTGAGATAATCATGTCAGTGAAATGTTAATCGCTCTCAGAGTACAATATAATCTCATTACTGTAGCAAACTGTAGAAGGAAACAGGAATTACGATTTGTTTCAAGAAAATAGGATTAAGACAAGATTTGTCCTACCCATTGCAGGAGAAAAGGGGTAGAGTAACACTTTAGATCTTATGGGCTTCGTGCAAATAAATAAATTAAAAAACTGGGTACGTTATCTTTGGCAGTCTGTTCCAGTCAGCTGATAGATTTACGACAGTGTACGGATCCTTGCCGGTGATTATGTCATTTTTCTCAAGTATCGTTCCTTTTCTTTTAGTCTAAGACCTTATTTGCCGCACTTTTCGCAATGCCTCCAATAACGCCTTCTTGCTATGTTCAGGGCCGTATCTGTAGTTTTGTGCAGCTTCTGCACACTTTTCCCAATGCTTTGTTGGATTCTGATATCATGAAATTCAGTTTTTAATACCGAAAATCGGATGTGGGGTGGTTGTCAGCCGTGTTTGTTTACAACCTGGCTGCCTCCAACATGGCGGCGCATCAGGGACTTTCGGGTTTCTGTGACATCAGTAGATACCCTGTACCCTGCAGCAGATGCGATAAGGCAGGCTTTGGTGAAACGGGACGTGCTCCCAACACCGGGGTTAGCGAACATCGAAATGACATCCGTCACCATAGGACTTCCTACACCATGGTGGTCCATATAGGTGAAGCTGGACACCTACCGAACTAGAAGGAAGCGTAAATAATATATGGAGGATTGAACGATCAGACACAAATTACGTAAACTGCTTACATTACGACAGGGAAAATGCAAACATTCATCCGGGCAGCATAAATTATCCAAGGTCGCCTCAATAATTATGCGAGGAACGAGAAGGGGGTCACGGTCGACAGGCGATTCATTAGCTCACGTCTGATGTATATATATGCTCTGGAGCTTCTCTGATGTATGCATGTCTGACGAAGATGTTCATTCTCATCCATACCTTTTCTATATGTCTATATGAATACGGCGTATTACTATTATTATTATTGTTATTATTATTATTATTATTATTATTATTATTATTATTATTATTATTACTAGTGGTAACATTATTACTATTGTTATAACATGAAGTACTGTTGTCATTGTTATCATCATCATCAATCATCATCATCATCACCATCACCATCATCATCGTCATCATTATTTGTACTTTTATTAATATTTGTATTTATCTTAATCATTATAATTACTGTTATGTTGTAATGATATCATTATCATTAGAAGCAGCCGTAGTTGTAGTAGCTGTAATAGTAGCCATATTGTTATCATCTTTGATAACATTATCAAAATGATTTCCACTGTCGGTATCACCAGTACCCTTATCAGTAATAGTATTAAAAGTATAATTAATTACACTAGTATTGGAATAAGCACTGTGCCCCAGACCCACACAC